CCGAATAAATGGGCACTTGATTCTTGCGGATGATAACACCAAGTTCATGTTGTTAATCTGGCCAGGTCAGCGGTTGGATTCAAGAATACGAAGGGCTTAAGTTTGCAACATTTAGAGGAGCTGGCCATGCAGTGCCTTGCTTCAAACCAAGCAGTTCACTTGCTTTCTTCTCTGCTTTTCTCCATGGGGAATCCCCATCTTCCTCTCGATACTGAACTCCTTGGAGGATTTTGGTCTTATATCTAACTATATATGTATCATTTATATATATAGTAGTAGAAAAATAACTAAAATTAGACGAGAAGAAGAAGAAGAAGAAGACAAGTTCTGGGTCTGGTTTTTCCCATTAAAGATGTCGTTTCAGTTTATGCATGGATGATGTCAAATGAGCTATAAGACAAAGAATACCAATTAAATCATCAAAATCTTAAACTTATGAGACTATTTTAACAATTATAGGCAAATAATACACTACGAGAGAAAGGATATTCTATTTTAATTTTTAATATTGGACTTCAATTATCAATATTTTATTATGAGAGGGGAAGAGTTTCATAATGGACATCCATTAAATAATATTATAATAGTCCCCTTGCATATTTATTGTAAAATATGTCCTCTTTAAAATTTTATTAGAAAATATTTTGTGGATAAAAATCCATAAAAGAAAAAATAATCATATTTTAATAAATATGACATGTTATTCATTGTATATCGCGTATCTTACTCCCTCTCATGAATGCATCACTTAATATCTTTGAAATGATACAATATAATGTTTTTTTAACAATGTAAAGGAAACAAAATTATAACGCATCAAACTATAGAGAGAAATTTGGAGACCATAGTCGTCGAAATACTCATACAAAAGAAATAATTAAAATTAAAGATACAAATAAAAATAAAATCTTCTAATAAGAATGACGGTCAACATCAAAACTCAATAACCTTAATAAAATCTCCTTATCTCTGTCGAATGAGACGTTTGAGGAAGTGATAAAAGAGTGGAGAGCGAACCAAATAATCTGGCAGGCTGCTTCGCTACACAATATGATTACATCATCAAACAACCTTTTACCAAAAGAGATGATCTGACTATACATGACCACCGACTAACCAATCATAAAATAAATGTAGTTATGATTTTTGTGGGAGAACCAAAACGATCACAAAGGTATGCGAAAACATACCAAATCATGAGAATTTGCCACAAGATGAGAGAAAAATCATGTCACAAGAACATAATCTTATTCAAAATTGAAAATACTAAAGCAAAAAAGATAAAAGACATAATATAAAAAAATAATAAGAGAAGTAATAGTCACCGGCTGTTGACAACCAACATTAAGATCGGTGACGTCACTGACTAAACAAAAATCAAAGAGAAAGAAGAAGACGGCACAAAAATATTAAAAGAAAACTAGGTTTAAAAAAATAAGAGGCAGCCAGATTTTTTTTGTAACTAAATCTACTAATTTTTAGTTGGTATAGAATGTCCGATACAATATAATGTTAAAGATTAACTTCTTAAAAACGGTAAAAAGTTTTTTTTTAATAGATCTATCAAATTTTTACTTCAACATAAACATCAATTTCTCAATTAATATCATAAAATATATCACGTACTTTGTTCCAAGCTAACCACTACAATAGAATAGGTTTATAACAATGTTTTTTTGTCCTATAGTGACGTTTAAAAGTACCGTTAAAAATACTTTCGACACAAAAAAACCACAAAAAGCGTCGGTCAAACGAATGCCGCAACTGTTAGTGGCGTTTTACAATAACAAATGCATAAAAAGTCAGATTCTTTAGCGGTATTTTGAATATAACACCACAAAAAAGTGAAGTTCTTTAAAGGCGTTTTTGTAATTTTTAATTAAATTTCAAAAAAAAATATTAGTCTAATCAAAATTTTAATTTGTTTAAAAGATAAAAATAAATTTTTATTATTTTATTAATTTACTGTTTCACAGTTTTTGAAGTGGTCCAAAAGTAGGATGTCTTATATACTGCAGCCTTAATATATGGTTAAAGAAATGTGCTATTTAAAATGTTAATATATTTTTTAATATTTTTAGTAAAGTACTAACTAAAATATTTTTTTATCAGAAATGTTAATATTGGGCGTTACCTAAAATGATTAACATTTCCGGTAAAGCGTTATATAAATCATAATTTTTCTACCGGTAAAATATTATTTTTTCTATTAAAAATTAGGTAGTAAAATTAATATTTTTTGTAAAAAAATAATGTTTTAGATAGTGTTTTACTGGAAATATTAAAAAATATTAATATTTTTTATAACATCTTTTCTTAACCGTATATTAAAACTGTAGAGGGAACTACCAAAAGTGAAACCTGCCCTTTGACATATATTCTCATGGACACTTTTGTTTTCATTGTCGTTGGAATTTATATCAACCAAATAGATTTTTAATAAATAAATCAATTATAAAATGGTTAGCTTTGTTCGCTTGCCAAACTGAACAGCTTGACTTCCAATTCGAAAGTTGAGATTATTATTTAAAAGTTTATAAAAAAATAATACCCTTTATGTCCTATAAAAGATATTTATTATTGATTTTTTATCAATTGTTCTAAAATTTAATTAATTATTATTTAAAATTTATTATTGATAAAAATATATAAAAATATATTTTAAAAATCTTCAATCAAATAGTTTTCAAATATATATTTTATAAAATTTAATTATTTTAAAAACAATGACTTTAGTGATATCAATGAAAGTTCTTTTTACAGTTGGCGTATCAGAAAACTCATTAAGCTAAGGAGTGAAGCCCTCTCTATTCTTAGCGCAAGAATTACGAAACCCAAAGATTTATGGGATGAAATTAGAATTCATAGAACCAAGGTATCATGGCACAAAGTGATCTGGTTTCCCCTTCACGTTTCTAAGCTAAGCATGATTTCATGGATGGTTATTCTGGACCGTCTACCTACTCGGGATAGACTTTCTAGAATGGGAATTGTATCTGATGGATTATGTATCTTATGCAATGAGGCGCTTGACTCAAGAAACCATCTGTTTGTTGATTGTAACTTTGCCACTTCTATGTGGAACTCTATCTTGAGTAATACTAACATACGTAATACACACAGGACTTGAGAATCAAGGATCGAATGGGCTTCTCAATAATGGAAGGGTAAATCTCTACTTTTCACTATTTTGAAGATAGCTTGGACCGCTTACATCTGCTCGATTTGGGAGGAAATGAATAGAATAATTTTCAAAAGAGAATCAAGAACAACTTATCAAGTTCTAATGTCCACAAAGGAGCTTGTTCGAATCAAACTCAGTGACAGAAACTCTAATAGAATTGACAATGTTAATATTAATATATGTAATTATTGGAGTATAGACTAATATTTTTTGTTGTAAGTAAGTTGTTTATACTCCCAATTGAGATGGTTGTTGTTGAACTTTTCTTTATTAGATAATAAAAATCTACTCATCAAAAAAAAAATTATTTTAAATATTTAAAATAATTAATATCAAAATTTAAAATTTTTAAATTTTTATAAATTAATAAAAGATATTTTTATAAGACGGAAGAAGTATTTATTTAACATAAATAATAAATCAAATTAATTCAATTTTCAGTACGTCGTCCGACCTGATTTTTATAAGATAGTGAACTTTGCATGTACCGTTCGATTTTCATCCCTTTTGCAAATAAACTCAAAGGTAACACCAAACTTGCGCGGGAAATATCCCTGTCATTCTTTTATTTCTCAAAGTCAACGGTAAACGCTAATGGATCTTATCTTCTCCTATTGATATTTTATAAATATTATTTAATTTGAATTAATTTGGGTCCCACACTTAATTTTAATAGATGAATGTCTTAACGAAAATTTTCTGCATACACAATAACTCAAACTTTAGGTTTTATTTAAACGATATCAAACTACTTACACTTGAACTAACCTTGTTGGTAGAGATTTTATTTTCTCTTTGTTTCACTTTTAGTTTTTTAATAAGAATAATTTTACTTTTGTAGCACATTTTTCGTCTTTTTTCTTGTTCGTTTGATTGTTTCTTTTATTTTATATTTTATTCAAGTTAGATTTGACGACTTCACGATTGATTAAGATGACGTTTATTTATAATCATGTTGATCTTCCCTGCTATATATGGGCTCTCAAATTGGATTTAGATACACGATTTTACGTTCATGAATAGTTCCTCATGACGCTCAACTCTAATTTACAGTTCTCGGTGGTCTTTGATTGAGTTTTTAACATTTTCTATGTATGGTACTTATATAATCTAGAGTGACTAGTTTCAATATTATAAAAAAAATCAAATTATATATTTAGTTTACGAGGATAGTTGTAAACTCTTATAAAATCAAGATGCAATCGAATATAATTCTAAACAAAAAATCTAATTTGGAACCTCATAATATGATTTTAATTTTTTATTAGATTTGAATTAAATAAAAATTATTTAAATACAAAAACAAATTAGCTCTTTAATTACAACATTTGCCTATCACCGTCCCTAAACAAAGCAGAATCGCGCGATTAATTGAGATATACGTCCACCTTTTTTTTCAATTTCCAACGTTTATCCTACGTGGACTTTCCAATCTGAAACAGACTTTACAGTTTACACACACCCTACACGTTATGCATACACATCAATTATTTTTTAGAAAAATATTTAATTTAATTTAATTTAATTAATTAATAAAAAAATAAATATAAAAAAATTATATACCTATTCTTTTTAAATAGCGTATTAAAATTTTAGATTTTAATTTTTAATTTCTAAATCCGTCACTATATAATATAATAGTATTTTTAGTAATCCCGCCGAAAACACTCGTGAGATATTGGCACAATGGTGCGACAATCGAACGATGCAACGTCCGGGAGATTTCCAAATATGAAAGTAATTAATCAGTGTCTAGAAAATAAAAATTTCTGTGTATTTACACAGGAATGAGTATCTGAATCTTCACATGCATATATTATTCACGACCACGCAGAATATGTGTTGAATTCTGAGCTTGCAACTCCACCAAGTTCCCAATGACAGCTTCGGTTGCAGAATTCAAGAACCCCGACCAATCCCTGCATAAATGGAAAAACAAATAAGAAATAGAGACAAAATCAACTTTTAAAAAATTATAATGTTAAAATTAGTCCCCAACATTTTCCCAAATCAACATTTTGGCCCATTTAGTAGTTTCCGACGTTTCGATTTTCAGTCGAAATAATTCATATTTTATGAAAATCGTTGGTTTACTAAAAGTCAACACATGTTAGTGTAACATTTTCACATGCATTTAATTATTTCACCGACGATGCCTAGTTTAAAATTTTATTTGTACTTATCCTATTTAAAAATTTTATGTTGTTAACATGTGTTGCTCATCTTAAAAATATTTTTGGATCCGTCACTAAAGATGATAACGTGGCATGTTACACATCAATCAAAATGACGATATGACATGTGTCGTATAAACAATTAAGCACGTGTTAAACCAACATGGGTTGACCGTCAGTCAACCAACACTTTTCATTTAACAGGTACTATTTTGATAAAAAAATTAAAACGTTAGAGGTTAAAATGCTAAAAAAAAAAAGAGTTAAAATGACATTCTAACAAAGGTTGGGATTAATTTTAGAATTATGCCTTAAAAAACATTGTATTTCAGTATTTGATAGTTCATAGTCGATACCCTTTGTCGGTGTCGAATGCAAGTCCGACCGTGTGTTTAGCCTCCTCGAGAGCCCGATTAAACCTTTCCAATTGCTCCGCCGAACAAATCCCATAATCCATAACCTGAAGCTGAGAAGGCTTCACGTCGCAAAATATTGGGATGACCCTCTTTTTGTTCTCCATCAAAAGGGCAAGCTCTTGCAGACAAAAGCGCGAATCGCAGTAGTTGGGCGAAAATATCGCTACTCCTAGTTTACAGTTCCGGATAGCCGGATTTATTTTCCCGGACAACCGATCACCGGGCTTCATGCTCCGACTATCCAAGAAAGGCCTTAAACCCAGCCTGAACAAATGATCGTGAAGCAAACCGGCAATGGTTCGTTTCGTGTCGATCCCACGGTGGTTGATGAAGACGTCGCAAACGGGTCGGGTCATTGCGGTCGCCTTGTTTGGGGTTGGTGGTGGTTGAACTCGGACGAGTTTACGGCTCAGGTTCTTGACGGCTGATGAGCAAGTCAGCAGCATTGTTATGGAAGAAGGCGAAAAGCAAAGAGGAGCTGATAGCGATGATAGTATATCTGTTTATGGTTTTGGCGAGAGATTTGTGAGCGGGAGATGAGGGATTTATAGGTGTGATCTAAAACAAAAAACTTGATTGTCAAGGCAAAGAATAGTATGAATTCAAGTTGTTCGTTTATTTTGACATCATGGACTGAAAATGAAAGAAAAAGTGAAAACAAAAGTTTTTTTTTTTTGAATGGCTTGACGATCTCTCGACCATTTTTGTACCTTCAAACACGCTTTATATATATATATATATATGTAACTAATAAATTATTAGGGTAAAATACACAATGATCACTTACTATAGGGCAATGCTTTATTGAGTTTCCCGACTATTAAAGTTATAAAATGGTTCTCCGACTATAGGGCATTACTTTATTGAGTCTATCAACTATTAAAAGTTATAAAATGATCATCGGGCTATTCATATGTTCCAAACTCGACATTTTTCCAATAATAAACTGATTATAGTATAAGCTAGACGTTAACATGTTGACTGAGATATGATAAAATCTGAACCCAGAATCTCAAAACATTATCGTATCCCAATCAGAATGTTAACGTTCAGCTCAGACAGCCATTAACTTTTATAGCCGAAAAGGACGAGTTTGAAACATATGAATAGTCAGGTGGTCATTTTGTAACTTTTAATAGGCGAGGGACTCAACAAAGCAACGTCCTATAGTCGAGGGATCATTTTATAATTTGTAATATTCGAAAGACTCAACAAAACAACATCCTATAGCGGGACCATTTGTGAATTTTGCCCAAATTATTAATATTATACTATATAATATTATATTTAATAATATTTAATCCTTTAATTTATCTATCCACGTGTGATTTCTTTTTTAAAAAAAGAAAACTAGTTAAATCTTAATCCAACATTTAATTATGTCACACACCTGAATTTAGAAAACAATAAAAAATATTAACGGTTTAACATTAAGAGATTGATCGAGATCCCTTAAAACTTTTAAAAAATTTATATTTTACTTTTTTATATTTTTATAATTATTTTAGAATTTTTAAAATTTTTATTTCGTTATATTCTAAAAATTTATAAATTTATCTCTTAACATAAAATCTTAGGAGTGTTTGGTTCAAGTCATATTACATTACCGGGGGAATGGAATGTCATTCCCCCATTTGGTTGGCAAACATTCTCAATCCCCGTAATCCTTTATTCTTAATAGTGATATTTTTGAGGTATATTATCGGGAATGTAATTACCCTCATTCCCTTAGGTATTATTAGATTACCGACGTTTTAGACTAAAATGCCCTTAATTTTTTTTCAAAAATATCATTCTTTCTGTCGTTGAATAAAAAAAATTATACGAAAGTTAAATTACAAATTTATCCTTAAACTATTTTAGATTCACACAAAAAAGTCCATAATTAGAATTTTATATGAAGTTCATGAGTTAATATAAAATTTACCCTTTCATTAACCTATTTATCTTTTCAATTTTGTAAAAAAAAATTATATAAATTTTATGAATTTAAAATTTTTAAAGAAAATATTTAATTAATTAGTGAAATTATAATAGAATTCAACTTGTTAAAAAAACAAATATAAGGACAATTTGGTAAAATATACATTCTAATAATCTTTTATTCCTTTAACCAAACAATGTAATCTTACATTCCTACTAAACGAATTAAACACAAAAAACAACATTCTCATTAATCTTATTCCTGCCGATAATCATATTCTCACTAATAATCTTATATTTCGTGAACCAAACGCACCCTTAGTACCATCCATAATAACAACCATCCCAATGAAATTTTTGTTGTAAAAATGCAGTGTGAATTGGAAATTAATATTTACTTTAAAAATAATGAAATTAATATTCTTCAAATAAAATTAACTATTAATATTTGCTTTAATTTTTTTAAAATCAATTAATTTTATTTAAAATATTTATATTATAAAAATAATGTAAATATCACATATCAGGAAATTAATATTTTCAATAATACTAATTTATTAATACAAAAAAAATTGAATTAGATAACTCCTGGCTTAAATTATTGTTTTGATAATTAAACTTTTAAAAAAAATATGAAATGATCACTAAAAATTAGAATAAGGTGATCATAATTTATTTATTAAAGTAACATATGTTTGATTCAGTCATGGTTAATGGCAGGAACATAAAGTAAATTGTAGTGGTTTCGCTAACTTTTCTCTGGTCAGATGAACCGGGACATGTGGAAATCAAACCTAGACTCGGTTTCATATCAGCTTTTTTTTCCCGACTGGTCTGGCTTGGCTTCTGTAGGGTCCTCCACTACAAGCACTTAGAATTTGTCTTTAAGATGGAAATCGTATTTAAAGACATTGGATTTTACCGCCTTTTCATGTCTGAACGTGATTAATGTGGTTTTCTATTGTTTTTTTAAAAGTTTGATTATGAACCTAGACCACGAGTTTCTGAATCTTCACCACCCAAACCGCAATACTTTCAGACTGATGAAGTCATTGTTTATTATTATTATTATTAGGCAAAAAGGTTATAGATTCATGTATTTTTGAAAAAAAAATTAATACGATTCTCGTATTGTTTTCTTCAGTGTAACCTTCTAACTCAGAAAATAAATCTAATGTGGTCATTGACCAATGTTTTTTTGTCGTTAACTACTACGGTGCTGATGTGACAGTTCACGGTATTGACGTGACAATCTATGGTGACATATTAACATGACGGGTGACATATTAACATGACAGATGACATGACAGATTGATTAAATTTGTAACTCAAACATGGCATATAGACTATCATGTCAACACTGTGAACTGGCAAGCGATACTGTAACGGTCAACGACGAAAAATATTGATCAAAGGGACACATTAAATTTATTTTTTGAGTTAGAGAGCCACATTAAGAGAAAATAATACGAGGATCACATTAATTTTTTTTAAAAGTAAAGAGATTTTTAATATATTTTTATCTTATTAATGTATACTTTTCGAAAAAAAATTATTATTTTAATCAAATTTGACCCTTAAATTTTTTAAAAGAGTCGATTACTAAAATATTAAGACTTTGATTGGTTGAGTGGAAAATTGAAAGGATGGGAGGAATGAGTGAAACACCGGAAAGAAAACGAATTATGAGTGAGTTTGATAAGAAAAAGAAAAAGTGAGAGGACAGAAATTAGGAAGGATGATCGTTTTTCAGGATTCTGTATAAAAATTAGTGTCGAATTCAGAAATTTAAGAATAAGAGTTCAAAATTTTAATATTCATTTCTTAAAAATAACGGGTATGTAAATTTTTTTATTTTTTCTTATGATATTTAACTAAATGTCACAATTATTTTTCCTTAATTAATGGAATGCATTTTGCCTCCTAAGGGGTTTAGTGCATCCATCTCTACTAAAAATAAATAATTTCAACTCGAAAATAAAGGATCACAAATAGAGATGGGAATGAGACCCGAACTCGATGGGTTCTAACCTGACCCAATCGGGTCATTTTTTTTATAAAAAAATGGATTCGGATCGAGTTTATTTAAAGGTAATGTTCGAGTCAGGTTGGGTCTGGATTTAGGGTTAAAAATACCCGACCCGATCTGACCAAAAAAATATAATTTTGTTCTTATATATTTAGAGAAAATTACAATAATATTCCTCTATAAATAATTTTTTTCAATTAAATCTCTGTTTTTATTGAATAAACAATATTTTTATTATTATTTTGGATCGGGTCGGGTTTGGATCGAGCGGAGGGTGTATATTTTTTGGGTCGGGTCGAGTGGAGGGTATAAAATTTTCGAGTAGGGTCCGGTTAACCTAAACGCGATCCAAACCCGACTTATGCCCATCCTTATTCGTAAATGGGAGAGAGATATGAGTCAGTTTAAAATATGCATTTTTTTTGAATTAATCACTCCTATTCGATCTATTGATCGGTTAATCCAAATCGGGTATCCGGAATTGCAGAGGCGGGGTGACCCTCCAAATTCAGCTTGCTCCATTCGCAAACACCATGGTTCAAACTACTGACCTTACTTAAGGGATCTAATATCTCATCCTATTAGACCAACTGGTTGTTGGTAAAATATGCATGTTTTTAATTTTATTTTCTCTATTTTTTTTAACTCTATCAAGCAATGAATGAAAAATTAAGAGGATTGTTTTTTTCTTCGAATTGAAACCAGCCTGTCAATTAGACAAGATTACAGTTAGAATGTGTTTGGTTAGGGGAATGTGAGATTCCTATGGGAATGGAATCCACATTCTCCCGTTTGGTTGGTTGGGAGTGTCATTCCCGGTAATCTTACATTACCAATAGTGAATTTTTTGGGGTATATTACCGGGAATGTCATTACCTCCCATTCCTTAGGTATTGTTGGATTACCGACGTTTTGGACTAAAATGCCCTTAAATTTTTTTTCTTTCAAAAATATCCTTATTCTGTCATTGAATAATAAAAATTCTACAAACGTTAAATTATAAATTTATCCTTAAACTATTTTAGATTTATATAAAAAAATCTATAATTAAAATTTTATATGAAGTTCAGGGGTTAAAATAAAATTTTACCCTTTCATTAAACCTTTTTATTTTTCAATTTTGTAAAAAAAATTATATAAATTTTATGAATTTAAATTTTTTTAAAGAAAATATATAAATATTTTCAAACTTGTTAAAAAAACAAATATATAATAAGGACAATTTGGTCAAATATATATTCTAATAATCTTTTATTCCTTTAACCAAACACGGTAATCTTACATTCCTGCTAAACCAACAAAACACAAAATACAACATTCTCAGTAATCCTATTCTCTGGTAATCTTTTATTTCCACTTGTAATCTTATATTTCGTGAACCAAACGTACCCTTAAGTTAGGGAGACCCTGCAACATCCACAAGCTCCTGGATAGGGATGTAACATAACTCTCTACCTGAGACTATAATCTTGCCTAACTGTCACGATTTCAATTTGAAAAAA